CGGATGCGCGCCGGCAGCTACATCAAGGCCATGGGCGATGAGGACAGCGCCGACTCGGATGCCAGCGCCAAAGTATTGCCCAGGGCAGCCACGCGGCGAGACAGCTACCGCCGCTCCTCCAGCGCTGACCAGGCCAGGACCAAGTAAGGGCTGTCGCCTCCCAGCCCTGTCTCGGCACCGCGGGCAGCAGCTGGGGCTCCCCGGGAGCTGTAGCTGCCCTTGGCGGGCACTGGGGGGGACGCGGCTGCACTGGGCTTCAGGGTGGGACCCGCTGCTGCAGCCATGAGCAAAGGTTGGGGAGGAGAGGCACGTTCAAAAGGAGACGACTGGGATGTGACCCAGTCCTGGCGGGTGACAGGCTGGCTCCTCATCCCCAGCCCTGCTGTGTACCCCTCTGGCAGCCCCGCACTGCTGGGGGACAGATCGAAACAGGACAGCGTTTCGGGGCAGTTAGGAGTGGGGACAGCGGTGGCAACCAGCGGGAGCATCAGCAAACTGCAGCTGCATTTCCGAATGCTCTGCTTGGATGTGTTGCTTTTGGTGCGATCCCTTCTATTCCCACTGTCTCTCATTAGGTTTGCAAGTAGGCACTATTCTGATTCATATATCTGTAACTGTCCCAGCTGCTGCACACCACCACGAATGCTCCCGCGGGGACAGGGCTACGGGCGTTCCTTCACCACCGGCCAGGTAGGGTCCCATCTCACGGGGGCGGGTTGGGGCCGGGGGGGGGGGGCGGCGGATGCTCCTCTGAGCATCTCCTGCCCCGCTCGGCCCTGGCCGCGGCTCACCGCCCCCAGCCTCACCTGCCGCTCTCCCCAGATCAACGACGAGCTCAACCACCAGTTTGAGGCCGTCTGCGAGTCGGTTTTCGGCGAGGTGGAGTCGCAGGCCGTGGAGGCACTGGACCTGCCCGGCTGCTTCCGCATGCGGAGCCACAGCTACCTGCGGGCCATCCAGGCAGGCTGCTCCCAGGATGACGACTGCCTCTCGCTCTTCTCCATGTCAGCTCCCGCCGGGCCGCCCATCACCAGCAGCATCCTGAAGCCCAGCACCTGTGAGTCCCGGGGGGTGGTGGGGGCTTGGCTGCATGAGGGACCCCCACATCTCCCCACCTGCTTGCCCGGGCACCTGCCAAGGGCTGCTGCTGCCCCCACTCCTGCCCCTGACCCCGTGCAGCCCCTGGCACAGGGCGTGAGCATCCCGCTCAGAGCACGAGCACCCCGCTCATGGCTCAGTCCTGGTCAGGGGGCTGCTCTGTGCCCCCAGCACCCATCTGCCATTCCCTGCTTCCCTCCACTTCCCTCATCTCTGCCCCTTGCTGGGTGCTGCAGCAACTTGGCCATCGTGGGTCTGGGGGTGGTTTCTGATCCTTTTCTGGGGATAAACTGGCCAAACAGCCCCTCTGAGCTCCAGCCCAGATCTCAGCCAGCCGAGATGCAAACCCTGGGAGGCCCTGAGCCCCGTGCTGTGGGAGGAGGTGGTCACCATTCCCCCGGGGCCCCCATTTGCGGCGGGAAATGAGCAAGTGTCTGTGTTTTCACGCGCCTTTTCATCCTGCGCCTCTCCCACAACAGCCTTCAGTTACAGAAAAGCTCCACCTCCCATCCCTCCAGGAACCAAAGCCAAACCCCTCATCTCCGTCACGGCGCAGAGCAGCACCGAGTCCACCCATGAGAGCTACCTGCCCAGCGAGGTCACCCGCAGCCCCGCCTGGTCCAAAGACGCCACGGCCCGTTGCAACTCGGCCGAGAGCCTGGAGAGCTCCAAGGTGACGGCCGTGGCCCTCGACCTGCCTCCGGTCCAGCCCCGCGCCGCTCCCAAGCCCTCCACGCTCATCATCAAGGCCATCCCCGGCCGGGAGGAGCTGAGGAGCTTGGCTCGGCAGCGGAAGTGGCGCCCCTCCATCGGCGTCCAGGTGGGCTTCACTCCTCCCTGTGGGCTGGGAGCCAGCTCTGAGCCTGCCCGAGTAGCGTGGGCAATGCTGAGCCCCCGCGCTACATCTCGGGGCCGCCCTCCAGCCCTCTTCCTCTGCCCCTTGGCAGGTCGAGGCCATCTCCGACTCGGACACGGAGAGCCGGAGCCAGAGGGAGTTCCACTCCATAGGGGTGCAGGTGGAGGAGGACAAAAGGTACCGCACGGCTGGGCTGAGTCCTGCCACGCTCGCTGCACCGGGGAATTGGGTCCCCCTGGGGCTCCCTGAGCTGCCCCACAGCATATTTTTCCTCTCTCTTCTGGATGAGACTCCCAGAGCTCAGCACCATCCCTGTCCCAGGCCGGCTGCCCCCACCTGGGGCAGGATCTGGCCTTCCCTTTGCCCTCGCACCTCGCTGCTGCAAACGGACTGCCCAGGGAAGGGGCTCCCCTGCTCCCGCCCTGCGCTCGGGTCTCCTTCGCTGGGGCTCAGCCCTGGGGTTTGAACCCGGCCGAGGCGCAGATGAAACCTTTGGGCTTTTTTGCAACAACACATGACGTTTTGTCCAGAGTGGGAGCGCCGTGTGCTGGGACCTGCATGGCCTGCGGGAGGGGAGCTCCAGCAATGTGCCCACACAGTCCCGGTGCACGCTTCTCTCCATCCTCGGTCCAGCGCCAGTAGCCATGGAAACAGGTTAAGAGCAGAGGAGATGAGGGACCGGCAGGTTGTGGCTGCTCAGGGCTGTCCCCGTGGCCCCGAATGCTCGGGGGTCCAGACCGTGTCCCCAGTTGTGGCTGCTCAGGGCTGTCCCCGTGGCCCCGAATGCTCGGGGGTCCAGACCGGTGTCCCCAGCCCCATCCTGCCTGAGGGCACCCCTCACCCTGCCGTGATGGTGCCCAGCGAGGGGATGGGGCAGCAGGGCTTTCCTCGCTGGCCATGAGGGTCCCCACGCGCTCTCACTCTCCCCAGGCGAGCACGCTTCAAGCGCTCCAACAGCGTGACGGCGGGTGTACAGGCAGACCTGGAGCTGGAGGGCTTCACCGGCCTGGCCGTGGCCACCGAGGACAAAGCCCTGCAGTTCGGGCGCCCCTTCCAGCGGCACTCCTCGGAGCCTGAGTCCGGCCGGCAGTACGCGGTGTACAAGACGGTGCACACGCAGGGGCAGTGGGCATACCGGGAGGACTACCAGCTGCAGTATGACACGGTGGAGGTACCCCGGCGGGATGCCTGGATGGAGCGGGGCTCCCGCAGCCTCCCCGACTCCGGCCGTGCCTCCCCCTGCCACCGTGATGGGGAATGGTTCATCAAACTGCTGCAGGCAGAGGTGGAGAAGATGGAGGGCTGGTGCCAGCAGATGGAGAGGGAGGCCGAGGACTACGACCTGCCGGAGGAGAGTGAGTTGGGGGGACCTGGGGGGTTGGGAGGTATTGGGGCTCCCATGGAGCTGGGGGGCACAGACACAGTCCTGCAGTGCTCCCACTTTGGGACCGCCTTGGAGCGTCTCCCCTGCCAAGGCTAAAGAGGTTGGGTGGGGGCAAGAAACACTGGGAAACCCTCTGGGACTAGCGGGGTCCAGAGGAGGGAGGAGACCCTGTGCAGGCTGGGGGGATCCGAGCTGTCCCGCTGCTCCCGAGGCTGTGCATGTCCCCACCGCGCAGGGGAGAGGCTTCGTGTCCTGCGGGAGTGCTGACCATCTGCTCTCCCCCCACCAGTCCTGGAGAAGATCCGGAGCGCCGTGGGCAGTGCCCAGCTCCTCATGTCCCAGAAGGTGCAGCAGTTTTACCGCCTCTGCCAGCAGAACATGGTGAGTGCCAGGCAGCGGTGCCACGGGGTCAGCCATGGCGGGCGGGACGTCTCGTACCGTAGCCGGTGGAAAAGGGACTTTGTAATGCCCTGGGGGAAAGCCAGACAGAGAGCCCCCCAGCAGTGTGGGGGTGGGATGGCCGTGTGGCCAGCAGAGCCGATATGCTGCAGGCGGACGTGGATGACACTCTGTCCCCGCAGGATCCCAACGCGTTCCCTGTGCCCACCTTCCAAGACCTGGCCGGCTTCTGGGACCTCCTGCAGCTCTCCATCGAGGACGTCAGCATGAAGTTTGCGGAGCTCCAGCAGCTCAAGGCCAACGGGTGGAAGATCGTGGAGCCCAAGGTAAGGGCAGGGCTCTGCTGCTGGCACTTGTCCCCTGTCACCTCTCCCTCCCTCCTCCCCAAGCACATCTGTGCCCAAACTGCCACTGCCAGGCTGTCGCTGGTGACTGCTTTTAGCAAACACTTGAAAAACGAAGATCTGGGGAAAATGAGGCTAAAGAAGGGGCTGTTCCCCCGCCACGGTCTCGCAGCTGGCTCGCTGGGTGTTTCTTGGCAGTGCTGCCTGCAAAGGGCCGGGCAGGGTCTCAGCAGAGGCAGGGACAGCACGCCACCGGTGCCTTCATGCCTGTGCAGACAGACGAAGGGATGCTCAGCCCTGCCTCGCAACTCGGCGCGGTGCAGGAGGGGCGTGGGGCTGTCTCACCATGGCTTTGGCTTTGCCACCTGCGGCAGCGCCGTGCACAGAGGTGCATGTGTCCTGCATGCCTCCTGGCTGTGCTGAGCCCGCTGGGACGCCCATTCCCTGGAGGTCCTGGCCCTGCACCCACCCTGAAGCCCCCGTTGTCTGTGCAGGAGGAGAAAAAGGTGCCTCCCCCGATACCAAAGAAGCCGCCGCGCTCCAAGGTGCACCCGGTGAAGGAGCGCTCCCTGGACTCGGTGGACCGGCAGCGGCAGGAGGCCCGCAAGCGGCTCCTGGCAGCCAAGCGAGGAGCCTCCTTCCGCCAGAGCTCGGCCACCGAGAGCGCGGACAGCATCGAGATCTACATCCCCGAGGCGCAGACCCGGCTGTGACCGCAGCCTCCGCTTTTCTACCCGGACTGGACGGCGCGG